GATGTTGGGAGTTGTTTGGAAAGGACCTCCCACACCTCCGCTCAACGGTAAACTCAACGGTGAAATTTTTCAAAAATACCTTGTCAAGAGGGTCGCACAGGAGGACCACTTTGGGGTAGGGGGAGCGTATTCATTCAAAATTTTACACATTCTGTTCCCCGATGAGACGTGCCACACGCAGCTCGCTCCGACACCGTTTTTTCGCGCCACCGCAACGTGGACCTCCTGGTCGACTCCCGAGTTTTCTAGGTTTACGAATAGTATTGAACTGATTTTCTAATTAAACAGACAGATGACTCTAATGTTTCCTTCCAGCAAACTTGGACTTCGAAAATAAAGTTCTGAAGGTCATTTGATTGACTATTCGCACCTCTTCAAGTCTCTTCTTGAATCCTTGGAGGTACTTCATATCGACTGGCTCGCCTTTCCAAGCATCCTCCACTTGGCGTTTCCATGTTTGTCCGGTCATCAGTTGCACTGACAGATCCCATTGGGAACATGCCGCAATACCTCAACGAAGCACCCTTCAGTAGGTGGCCTAATATTACAGGAAAACAGAAGAAATTACAAAAAGAATTACGGGATAAATCTTATGTTCTTAATAAATTCTATTCCAAGTTTTCTGCCTATTTATTTCCCAGCAAACTTCTTCAGCGATTTTTCGCATGTTTCTCTTTTCTTTGTGAATTTCACGTTCATCTTCCACTTGTCGCTTCAAGCGTCTCACTCTTCAATTCATCAAAATCTTGAAGAAATCAAATTTTTCGTTCTCCTGATTTTCCGTACTGAATTTTCCGTGCAACACAAGTAGGAACGATAAGGTAGCGTAGGTCATAAAAATGTCTCTATGAAGAGCCGACCATTTATCTTTCATTGAAAGTGCATTCTATGATGGACACATGGGCGGAGTCAGTCCTACGAGTGGAACTTACTGACTGGTGCGCCACTAACTCTGCCCATTGAAAAAAATAACAACAACTGATCTAGAACACTAACCTGCATTGAGCTGTTCGATCACTTCTGGATCCTTCCAAAGTCTCTCTCCATTGATTTTCGAAGCTACTTGTTCACACAGATAAGACCCTATAGGAGAAAAGGTAACAAAAATAAACAGAGGTTTTGAAAAATTAAAAAACGGGGGGGGGCGAGGGTGACAACTGACGCCACGTGCCATGCTCTCATCCAGAGGTCAAGTCTCCAATCAATTCGTGTCCAAACCATTCCCCATTTACTGTCTCTCGATCCCTTCGTGGACTTCGAGTAAAAACAGCTTGCGTAGCAATGGAAGTGGGACCGAATATTGTGCCTATAAATTTTACTGTACGGTAAATTTGTCAGTGATAACAGTAAGCATGTATTCCGAAGGCGAGGAGTAACCTCGTCATCCGGGCAGTTGATTAGGGCGGTCGTCAACGGGCCGCAGCGCGTGCCAGGAACTATTTGCTTTTCCAGGCTAATTTAGTCATTTTTTCCAACTTGTAGTATGGAATAATGAAGCCTGCTAATCTGGGAAAAAGTAGCCAAAACAGTGAAAAGTTGGAAAAAATGACTAAATTAGTCTGGAAAAAGCAAATAGTTCCTGGCACGCGCTGCGGCCCGTTGACGACCGCCCTAATCAACTGCCCGCGGATGACGAGGGTATATGCAGGGATTGGAGCATAGCCAAGGCGGCATTTTCCGCATCAGCAGCCAAAGTTTTGCTGAATAATATAGGTTGCACTAATTGTGCTTGCAGTATACGCTCCTTCTCACGCCCTCTCGTTTTTTAAGGATAAGGACTGTGTGTTCTAACTCCTTTCTAAGCTGGGGGGGGGGAGAGAAGACTGAAGTGGAAGACAGGAAAGGTAAGGTTCAGCGCTAGATGTCAGTCACTCACCCATGCACTGAATGAGACTGCGCATTCTGCTTTCTGGATACGGTGGCTGACTGTTCCACAGTGCATCACAGGTGTCTTCAAAAGCCTCCACAAGTCCAATGAGCTCATCGATAGGGCGATCCTGAAGTGCTAACATCTCTAAATGCGGTTCAACAATTATTCATCTGGGACTGGCTTAACGCAGTGAACGATTGGAAGCGAGCAAATGTGAGGCATGTTTATAAGATATGTATGCTTTCCATGTCTAGCTGCAGAAAGGGGCGGTTCTAAGTACGCACTTGCGAGCGCGCAGACGGCTGCGCGGGATCAGACGAAAGAGACGCAGAGAGGTATGTGTAAACGAGGTGAGTTGGTACAGGAATACGTGCAGTGCGATAGCCGGGTTTGCTACTACACTTTTAGACGCGCCCCTTCTTACCCTTCGATATGGACTGTAGCTCATTGGTGATGACACTAGAAAGTCAATTTGTTTTGCTTAAGACTCAGCCCGAAGAATTTTTGAAGGGGCATTCTATGTTGACTCCACACTGCCACTTGGACCACTGCACCTCCCCCCCCCTCGCCCTCCCTAGTAGAATGCTTCTTCGCTCTATTATCTCATAGACAGAAAGAGGGGTCCATCGAGAAAGGGAGGAGAACGGCATAGTGGTCCATGTGGGTCTTCCCATGCCATCAGCAAGGATAGCGACTTTAAAGCTCAAGTGTAAAAACTCTGAGCTATTCTCTCACAGAACTCACCTCAATCGTGTCGATAATGATCTGTAGCGGTTCGAAAGCTTCGTTGTACTGTTGAGCAGTTGTTCCGCTGCGAGACTTCCAAACTCGGATTTCGTCCGCAAGTGCAACAACGCCAGCTGCAAATAAATGTGTTTAATAATCATCGATCGATCGAATAACGGTCAGGACAATCGTGAACTCGCTGCTTTCGCGCATATTGTGCAGCAAGATGCGTGGCGAGTTGGAATCTTCGGGACAATGATATTGAAAAGTAGTGGGCAAGATTGCCACGGGCGTCGGTAATGTCCACTGCTCATCGGTGGAAGGGCTAAGTGGGTGTGGCCAAATGCTCTCCT